CAACAACATAATGAGACATTCAATGATTTGAGTTAAGCTTTAGCTTCTGAGAGACGTGTTCTCACTCTCCGTGCTCTTCTCTTGGAAGTAGTAGATTCTGGTTACCCTCTTAGCTGTTCCAATCATCTCCCCGATTGATGGTCTTAAAAAACACAACTGTTAGAAGAGAAATTAGCAACACAATCAATATCATTTGTCAATTTGTTGATAGATAACAAGCTATATTGCAATTGTAGAACATATAAAATAGTCTCCAAAGTCAGATCAGTTTAGTACAATTGACCATTTGCCAGCAATGGAACTACAGGAGCCATCGACAATTCTGATGGTATCTTTTCTAGAGCACGAATAGTAAGTCGAGAAAACTTGTGAGCATCTAGTCATGTGATCTATGACACCTGAATCAATAATCCATGAACTAGAGGTGAAATAAGCTGTGAAAGCCATAGGAAGAATATCTTGTCAAAAGTGGCGGGTAAATGGACCCATAGAGACTTGATGGGTTCCAAGTAGCTTGATCAATTGCTCTTTCTGGTTTCTTAAGGATTCAAAGGATTCTGGGATGTTCCGTGTGGGAGTTGGTTGAACTGGGGTAGATTCGGACGTTGCTGTGAAGCCTAGCAGAGGATTTGGCCTAAGGTTTGTATGTCGGTTTACCCCTGAAGTTTCAAGCACTTGTCTCGAGTGTGGTTGGGTTTGATTGTAAACACAAGTGGAGTGACTGGTTTGAGGTGGCATGGACGACGGTAGAGCACGATTTGAGATGATTCCGATTGAGCCAAAAGAAATATGGTTGGGGTTCCGAGACATGATGGATTTGTAACTCACCGGTTGATGGAAAGCTGCAAGAAAGCTGCTGGAAAGATTGAGTAAGTTTGGGAGCTGGACTACAGAAAATTTTGGAGCCGTACTGTAGAAAATCTGAGAAGCAGGAGCCAAACCCAGCGAGAAGGATCAACAGGGATGGCAGAAGAGAAAGTTTGCAGAGAAGGGCTGCGGTAGTGCTTTCCTGTGGAAGGGTTGGGATCTGCTGCTGAAGAGATCTGCGGTTGATGGGTATCAACAGGGAACTACAGAGGAAGCCTTATTTGAGGAGAACGTTGCACATGTCTTTTTTGATCTGGAGAACACAAACCAGGAGCTAAAGAGTGATTTGAAGGATCTTTTCATAAATTCAGCTGTTCAGGTTGTTATTTCTGGAAACCGCTTGCAGGTTGCTGATACAGTGGCAAAAAGGTACAGAAACGGGAATAATGGCAACTGCAGGTAGCAGAAAACAGCGGCAAAAAAGAACAGAGACAACTTTGAACAGCGGCAAAAAGGAACACCACGCTGAACAGCGGCAGGTCGGTCTCAACTGGAGAATATCAAGGCCTGGCTGCTATATACGGGAGATAATTCTTACTGGTCTGGCTGCTATATTGATACCAAGGGCCTGGCTGGGAGAGTTTCCAGGGGGAACACCAGGGAAATTCTTACAGCAGGAAGAGTCGGTTGCAGGGGAAAAGACTGCAGGAAGAGTCGGCGGTTAGTGTTGAATTCTTGGCTTTGATATCATGTTAGATTTGAGGAAGCAACAGTATAGTTTTATTAATAGAAAGAGGGGTATTTAAACCCAATTACAGGAGGCATAATAATGGAAAGCAATAAAAACAGATTAAAATAATTAGGAAAGAAAATAAAACAGAATAAAATAAAAGCGGAAAAACATAATCTAGGAATAAAATCAAATAATAAGTAATAATGATATAGGGATAGCCGTTTTATTCTAATAAAAAATATAAATTACCAATATGTAAGTATATAGCTCGGTTGATTATCTTTCTTTGCATGAAGCACAATTTTTTTTCAATCTGTTCAATTTATGCATTTAAGAGTTTAAGGAACTTCGTTTTAGTTTTTGATTATCCATTTACATATATCAACTCTAACAATATAGTGCTTGATAATGAATTAACAAAAAAATCAATTTAGACCGCTTTCTACAATTAATCTACCAATCAGACGTAAGCGTAATCTCTCTCTTGCCAAAATTTATTTGTGATTTTTCATATCCTTCATTTTTGCTTGCAATTCTTTTTCAAGTAAATGAACTCTCAATTCATGATAGGACGGTTGCCTAATTTTTTATCTCATATGATCACAATTCATCAATTTTCTTATTTATATATTTTTTATTCCAATTTGTTCATATCCTTCTTTTTGGTAATCTCTTTTTTTGGTTCTTTAAAAAGGAAATGGTTCATTGAACTTTTCATTGTAACTGTATTGCTGCTCCTTAATCCAAAAATCTATTCAAATGTTCTCTTTCCATAGTGCAAGGACAATTGAGTATTTGATTCTTAAAAAAATGTCAACCACTCTTTAATTATGTTCCATACATATAGTCAGTTTTAATTTATTTAGTAGTCCTTGTAAAGCAAATTCTTTCCTTAAATCTTAAAGTACTTTCTTATATGTAATAACTCTTTTAGATGCATCAGAAGGATTGATGAGATGCTCCTTAGCCCAAGATATACTTGCATTTGACTATTTACCATAATAAATATGTCTGTCGCAAATGGTTCTTGACTCGGATTTTAACTTTGTATTTCGAAGTTGAAACTTTTTTTCTCATTTGAGTTGGCCGTACCTAAATTTTTTTTGCTCTAAAATAAATTTTCGAAAAATATAGAAACAACAGAGAATAACTTCATTGCTATGTTCAGCTTTAGCTTTTCTCTTACGTGACTTAAAAGTGTCATTTTAAAACAATAATAACAGTTAAAGTAAAATGCACATTAAATTTTAATGATCTTGAACTTGATTTCTTAAGTTAAAAAAAAAAAAAAGGTTATAATGAGAATGTTACCTTACAGGCTTACACATTACATGGAATTAAAGCAAAAGCGCACTTGCGAATTTTCCCCATAAACTAAGCGAATCATCTAATGCAAATAAACTTCATTTTATTTGCCTTATTTAATATTCCTTTTAAAAATAAGATATAGCCTTACATATATCAAGTAGAAGGCATTGAATTGTAACTGTAGCCTGAAATCAAAGAATTTTATATGCCCCATACATTATAAAGCATGATATGTATATTATATATATAAGGTTATATTTCCACACGAATTATTAAAATTGAAAATTAGATACTAAGAACTGCAACAATAGCTTGAATGAACAACAAAAGAACTGTTATATGAACTACACTTAAATTGAAGTGTTCATTTTATTTTTTGTGTACATTTTAATCACTATGGAATTTAAAAATTATTATTTTTTATGTGAACACTATATTTGATCATCATAAAAACTATGAACAATATCACAATATTGGCCAGCATCAACCTATGATTCTTTGTGGATAATTAATTATCATTTTTTTCTTTTTCTTTTTATTGTCCTCTTAAATAAAAAGTTCTTTTGCATTATCTTGAGTGGATTCGAAAAGTTAACCATGCTTAAACACTTGGGTTTGAGGTGTAACTTGAAGGGAACCATTCCAGCTGAAGTGGAGAAATTGAGTCATATCTACAGATTCTTCTTCTGCATGATCGAACTAGTGCTCCATTGTGGAGATGGTGGTGTTTCTGTATGTTTGTGGCTTCATGCGCTCTTCGTCATGTAGCTTAGTCTCTGCTCAATGGTCGCGGTTTCATCTACTGCTTGCGTGGTTTTGTCCCTGCTCAGCTACTGGTTCGTCTCCGCTCCAGTGCGGAATTGTTTGCTTGTTTGGCCTAGTATTAGGGCACCCCATATTGTTCTGTAATATCTGCTAACCTTATTTGGTACCCCGCTCCCGATCCGCTCGAAAGCCCATGCCTGCTCTTGCTTCTGCTACCAAGCTAAAAGATTTTTTATGCGTGCTCACTAGTGCGCTTCTCAAGCGAAGAACATGCTTTGCGATTCTTTATGTGAAAAGCGCGCTTTGAACAACATTTTTTTAAAACGTTGAGTAACCAGAACCTCCTCTCCCAAATTTGTCCTCACTGCCATCAAAAATCACTTTGCATCAATTGGGAGCTTACATTGGTTGGTTTTTGTTCCAAGTATTGCCAATCTTTTATGAATCTTGCTTGATCTTGTTAGATTCCTCCAATACTTGTGGGAGCCACAAACTACATGATTCACGTAATCCCACTTGAATCTGTAACCTCGATATTACTTGTGAATGCAAATTAAAAGGATATCAGAGTAGGGCTAGATACACTGTTACTTAAAATATGCCAATTGTTTGATATTTCTACTTCAACATTTTTTTTTTGCTCATCCGATATGAAACTAAACTCAATGCTCTTAAGTGTCATAACACCAATGTCATATTCTACTTCATGTAAATGTATTTTGCTTACAGCTAGATATTGGTGAATGCCAATTGTTTGATTTTTTTGCATTAACTTTTTTTTTTTTTTGCTTATCGGATATGAAACTAAACTCAATACTCTTTTGTGTCATAACAACAATGTCATATTCTACTTCATGTAAGTGTATTATGCTTAAATTCTTAGGCCTTATTCTTTTCTTTAGACTAGATATTTAACCAATTGAATTCTGCAGGGACCTGCCTCAAGCATTACTTTGTTGATTTATTCAGATTCATTTTCCTATATTTTTGGTATTGGTCCCTTTTTTATGCAGTCTTCTGATAAATTTTGAACTGTGAACTTCAGTTGACCATAGGATCTTAATTTTTAAATTTATTTGCATTTTTTTTATCACCGAATTCAAGCTATACTTCAGGTGAAGTATGTAAACATGATCAAAGAAAGAGTCCTGGTTTAAATATTCGCTGACATATATTATTGGTGTTTTATTGTCTGTCCAATTTTCAGTTTAAGCTGCTTATCAATGCAGTGAAATAATATATGCCACTGATATTGCGGTTTTCATTTTTTTTTCTTCATTTTTGAGTTACATGTTCCTTGTATGCGATCTTTCCGACGGCATTTTGAATTCTCTAATTGAGATTTCACATTTACCTATGATACCTTATGCTTTATCCTTCTCCATAGGTATGAATCAAGCTGGACTAGCTGAATGTATCGTCCGAGCTGTTAATGCATGCCATCCTTATCTTCATCCTGTACTCTTTGAGAAGTAATTCCCATTGATGTAAATCTCAGAATGATGTGTATTGCTATGTAACTTCCTTTTCTCTTCGCTTTTCTTTAAATAACTTATAAATCTTTTTTTTTTTTTTTTCAGCATTATCTTGACTGGTGGAAGCACATTGTTTCCTCGACTTGCAGAAAGGCTGTAAGATGATTGATGACTATAGTTCAACTGTTCATTACATTTTTTTTTTTCTAAAACTCATGCGCACTCATGTGTATGCATGGCTTTGAACTTAGATGTTGTATGTATGATCGAAAGTCCATAGATCTTATTTAGAGAGGGTACGGCATATGAACGGAGAGAGCTCGCTGCCCTAGTTAGTTTGGCTAAATCAGTTTGACCGATCGACTCAATCACAGAGTTTTTGGCAATAACTCACCTATGGTGGTCAACATGTAGATGCCTAACCAGACTAAGGCAGCTTGATAACTCGCCAAGGAAGCTCAACTCCTCCCATGACAAACTTTGCCTAACTACTCCTGAGATCAACTCGCCTAAGAAGATCAACTTGTCCCACGACTGAGTTGAGTGATAGATGCATCACTAGTAAGTTTTGCTCGTGGAAAGACATTTTTTATAAGAAATAATTATTCATGCATGGGGGGCCAGGATAATATTAAGTATAATACCCCTGCCAGAAGAGGGACAAGAGAGATAGATCAAAGATTTCTCGGGACACCGAGTTTAATGAATATTTAATTTGTGACGCTTAAGTTTACCCTCCTATAAATAGGGTGATTAATGTAATGCAAAGGGTGGAATTTCTAGATGTTAAAGAAGCTCATTTTTCTCATTTATTCCCTATTTTTTCTTAAGCTCAAGCTTTTTCTTATTTCAACGTATTTTCTTGGTGGTGTGGATTTACAAACAAATCATGATTGAACATTTTGGAAGATGCGGCGAGCTTAGATCATGCCACATACAAGAATATGAGTCACACGAGGAACATACCCAAATAATAGGGAAATCACTAGCAACATGAACTATATTAGAGAATTTGTTACAATAAATCAATGAATTAAAAGAAAATATGATAACAGTGATACTAGAAATGCTCCAACAAACACTAAGGCAAAGCACATGGGAATAAGTACTCCCTCCAGAATTAACAACATACCAGAGAACAATACTCGTGTTTGGTAGGAGAAGGAACTCATACCTTGCTCTAGTTGAGGATGATACGTACCTTATTGACAACGCTAGTTCAACCTCCTCAGAGTACGAAGGGGATAGAAGGCAAATTGGAATCCCATGATAATATCAACTAGAGAATGCTTTCTCCAAAGATATTACCAAGGAGGAGGCCTTAATGATATTTAAGATTCTATTATTGGAATCTTATCGAGGTAGATCTGACTCTTCTAACCACATTGCTTCATTTGAATCAACAGCGTGCTTGCTTAGAATAAATGACGCTTTAAATTTCATTTATTCTTCGTAACTCTAAAGGAGTTGCCACTCAGGTGGTTTAGCAATTTGCTTTTAGGAGTGATAACCATCTATGCGGATTTCAAGTGCATATTTGTTGCATAATTTGCTAGCGTGGAGAAGCCATGAAAGAGCTCGTAGGCCTTAGAAGAGCCAGGGAAATTTTTGTGAACCTTTGTTACTCATTTTCAGAGGGAGATACTAGAGGTTAGAGACATTAAATTTGTCATAACACACAACGCTCGCCTGGAGGCCGATATAAGGCACTTTCTATTATACTTTTGGCTGCAATGTCTAAAACTTTAGCCGAGTTTCTAGAATCGACCAACAATCACAGTTTTGTTAATGAATATAACTCTCCTCCCCAAATCAATGGAGCGAGGTACTAGGAGATACATCTATTGAAGAAGAGTTGGTCAGGTTGGTGTGGAAGGAAGTCACCCCATGGGGCTTGTTTTAAGAAGCATTGACACTTTCCATTTTGGGAAAGAGCACATTTTTGAGTGTTGAAGTCATCTAGAAAAGGGTCAGTTCAATAAGAGGAGAGTCGAGTTGATAATTATAGCAGGTGGAGAGGAGGTTGCTACTACCCATCCACCAACTACTTCAAGAAAATATATTCTGAGTCTCAATAGCCAAGATTGCCTAGAATAATGAATACTTATTAAAATTGATGCTAATGAAGGCTAGGGTCATTTTCGTGACCTACAAAGATATATAATGACTTTTGTTATAATACTGAAGAGTAAATACATCTACGTAACATGATTGAAGAGTTAATCTAAGCTGAAAATTTTAATAAGTTTGTCGTATCAGGGGTTATTACTTAGAGACAAGGGAATGCACATGTTGAGGAAACCTACAATGAATTTATCTGGGCTTAGGCAATCCAAGTAGCGGGCGTAGTCTTGACCATCCTCAGTGGGGACGGGTCAGAAGCCTCTCCAATCAAGGCTTAAAAGACTTCACTTAAGAGAGATTTGTTTTACGAACTCATCCCGACGCCGGTTAATTATTAATCCTATTATTGCATTTATTGATAATGACTTGCCCACCAAGGCGAACCCATACAACAATGCAATTGTGGTCATCGTGTTGATTACAACCTGGTAGACAATATTCTCATAAACACAGGAAGCTTTGTAATATCATCTTCAAAATGTCTATATGATAAAATGGACTTGGGATCTTCACACTTTGTCCTGACCTTTGGACTTTTGTTGAGCTTCTTAGGAGAAAGAATGAAGCCGCGGGATTCATCTCACTACCAGCTACTTGGGGAGAAAAGGACAAGTAAATTCACAACAATGGTCAACTTCATTATAGCCGACTCCCCAATAACCTATAACGTGATTTTTGGCCACCCTCTGATCACCTTTGAAAATGTCATTTCAACATACCACATTGAGGTTAAGTTCCTAGGTGGAGTTGATAATTGTACGGAAAGACTAAGAACAATCTCACACTTGCTATCTGCAAATAGTAAGAAGTGTGTTTTAGGAGATATTATAGCTCAACACATATATAGAATGTGATCTGGAAACAAATGAATTCATACGAGAAGTTGTCGCTGTCGAGGGAGATCCATGTAAAATGTTCCGACTTACTACTATTTTCGATGTACTATGAAAGGATGAATTGATCGTTATCCTCCGTGAGTACCAAGATGTATTCACCTAGTCAGTTAAAGAGATGTCAGGAGTCGACATCGAGGTCGCTTGTCATAGGCTCGACATAGATCCAAAGCTTGACTTATTTATTGATTGGTTTAGTTATGTTTGAGATAATCTTTTTATGGTATAAGTACCGTTCTAGTGCAGAAGGCTTGGATTGTCTTGTACATTTCAACTCTGACAAATTGCCATTATCTAACCATGCATTAGATTCTACATATGTGATTCCTTAAGTGATCAGGTTACAATTAATTTATGTTGGTGTTAAAGTATTGAAAGCTTGTCTTATGGGTTTCAATTAATTGATCACATGATATTACAAATGTATTTTGAAGAAAGTTCAAATTATTTTCATAGACGAATTCTATGAGTTTGCTTCATAAAGTTTCAAATCAATAAAATAAAAAAATAATTGTAAAAGAAAATCTCATTTCATTATAAGTGAATAAGTGAGTTACAATAAAATTTGTCAAAACAACTGAAAACCGCTCTCAGTCTGGCTCAATCTCTCATTCAGAGTTTGGTTCCTTCATTTCCTTGAACTTATCCATATTTGACCACTTTGGAGGGGGAATTTGTTTTATGGTTAAGTCGTTCAAACAAAAGTTCATTCCTTCAATATGCTTATCCACAAGACTTTCTTCTATATGGAGGTCTTTTACAACAACTCCATGAACTTTTCAGGGGTCTGCATGGTACACACTCTCATGAACTACTTCATCTCTCCCTCGAGCTCGGAGCATTTGGTCTTTAATCTTGAACACTCCTCTAATGAGTTAATTGGTTGCTGACGTGCATCCGCCAAGTCGGTCGTTGTAGTTACGGTTAAGTTTCATCCTCTTATTTCATCGTAGCATTTGGCGAAGGCCTTGCGTTGCTCTTCAATGCGGATTTTATCAACCTCAGCTTTGTTCTTTGCTATCCACTTATTTTATCTTTTTAATGGGCGAGGTCTCTCGCTGCCCTCCTTTAATGAAAACTACATGTTGCTGCTTGTATCCACATGGCAGCAAACAACTGAGATTTTCAATTAATCCCTTGAATCATCTTCTTTGGGAAAGATGAATTGACGACTTGTATGAGTGTTGACCTCATTTTTAGTGAGGTCTAGTCTTCCTCTTAGGGTTTAGGATCTAGCCTTAGCGACCTCCCTTGACTATCTTAGAACCTTAGAAGTGGTGCCCGCCTCGTTTTAATTCGACCTATTTTCGTCCTCTTTTGTGGTTCCAAGTGTGTGGTATCAACTTCTAGCATTTAGAAGGGTGAAACCAACATGAGGAAACCCAAAAGGGATCCCTATAGGACCTTTTGAGCCTTAGGGTGGCCTTCTGCACAATTCGCACTCCCGCGCGCGTCCGATCGCCGCAATTCGCATCGCCTGCATTGCTACTTGTCGAATGCTCGATTAAACCACTTGGGACGATCGATCGCGGGTCGAAATTATGTGAAATTTGAATTTCGACGCGTTTTGACCCGATTGTCGACGACGTCGTCCGAGCGACCCCGGATGACGAAACGGACTACGCC